TGCATAAATAGATAAATCTTTAAAAATATATATAAATAGGTCTTCCCGGTGGTGCAGCGGGCTGAGCGACGTGCTGTGAAGCTGTCTGCAGCCTCTGCAGTGCGGGTTTGATTTCTGGCCGGCCAGGGAGATACCCACATGGTGCATCAGACCTCTCCTGTCTCGCCTGCTGCTCCCTTCAGCAATGTCTTCAGTGCGTCTGCCTGTTCTGCTCCCTGCTCTGTCTCTGGTGACTCCTTTCACCCTCCCACACCTCTGGCTTATACCCCAATTCTTGTATAAATAAATAAATCATTAAAAATATATACATACATAAATAAATAAAAACCTTAAAATTACTCATAATCTTTGACTCAATAATGCAAATTCCAAAACTATTTCAAGAAAACATAAAATGGGGTTACAGTAAGTATTATTTGGAAATAACACAGGATGCCTCCTCTCAATAAAGGAAAATAAATTAATATAATCAAATAAAAACTAAAAACCACTAAACAGACTATGCGTTAGGTAGTCATAAAGTGGTATTTATAGATACTGAAACAGCACGTGAAAAGCTTTGGTTATCATGAGAAATGAGTTGGGATTCACCCTAGTGAAACATGTTTTATAGGAATCCCACCTAGGTTTCAAGAATGAATCGACCTATTCATTTTCCCTTACTTGAGTCAGTCAGATGTCTACATTATCCCAAAACATCACATAAACATTCCCCCCATCATGTCTTTGTTCTTGTCAGTCTTTATTTTTAATAGCTTTCCTTATCCCTTATGTTTATTCCAATTTTAGCTGTCCTCCAAGTCCTAACTTGTTCTACTTCTTTCCATGATGTTTTCCCGATTATTCTAGAACACAAAAGCCTTCTCATCATCACTAATTTATATGAAGAGATTTGCAGAGATTTTACTTGTTGGAGAAAGGAAATGAGATACAGGGTTTATAATTCCCCCCATTTAATTCCTAGCTCTACTGTTTACTAACTGGGTGATCTCAAGGAAGTTACATCACCTCCCTAGGAGTCAATATGTTCATCTATAATAATGCAATAAAAACATTATTCACTTTATCGCTGACCTCTTCATTATATTCCTACTACCAAAGCCTTTTCTTCTTACTCTTAGATTCATAATAAGGTGTACATGGTAAACTAGGACCAAATTGTACCCTGAGTACATAGAAGTTTCACTCCTATTGTATAATTTTCTAAATCCATTCATTGTATAAAACCAATAACCATGGTAACTATCTCTAGTGATCTAAAGGCATTGAATGTTAGTTGGTTTGCTTGGACTGGACAGAAACTATAAATGTTGTTTTACCTTCAGTTTCTACTCTAGAGAATAAGAAACAATGCAGAGAGGAAAATTGCTAATCAAAACAATTTGCGGTGATGATAAACAGTGTCCAGTGGCAGCTTATGGAATAAGTGCAGCTCTCGTATTTCCTCCTCATACAGGGAGGTGGCCGTTGACTGAATAGGGACTGCCAACACTCATCACCTACTTCCTGAAGAGGTGGTTTTAAATAAAGTGTGCTTGAAAAGCCACCCAACTTATACACACTGGTTCTTTATATGTCATCAGATAAGGAGGAAAGAAAAAACGGAAATGGCATGGCAATTTATCTACTCTCAATGGCAACCTGCTTTATCTAAAAATGTTAAATAGTCTCATTTTGCCATTCTTTAAAGAGTCTGTCACATCTTGTCCCTCACACAGACCCCACTCTTTTCTCCAAAGCCTAGACAGAGTTAATTCTGGGTCCTATTGGTTCACATTACTAGGAATACCAACAATGAAAAACAAAAATAGCCCTAGAAAGTTTGAAAAGAGGGCCTCTCTGGTGGCCTAGGGGTTAAGTCTCAGGGCTATCACCTCAATCACCACTATGGCCTGAGATCCTCTCCCTTGCCTGCTTCCCTCAGCAGTATAATTCAGTAAATCTGCCTGTTCTGCTCCCCACTCGGTCTCTGATGAATCCTCTCACCCCCTGCACCTCTGACCTACACCCCAGTTCTTCAACGCAAAAATAAATAAATATTGAGAAGACAAAACACTAAGAGAATACTTAAGAAATAACCAGTTTTAGATATTATTTTATAAGTCTTATAATTCTGAAGATCTTCATGTATTGTTCTTATTGTGGATGACTGCTTCAAGAAAATATGCTTCACCAAACCTCAGACATTGCCATTTCCACAAGAGCAGGATTGTGAACTTGCTTATTTTGTTTTCACCTGAGGGGATCCTGTATGCCGACTCCTGGATTTTGGCAGCTTTCATGTCTGATGGCCCCTGTGTGGGCACACACTTGTCAAAAGCATAAAAGCATGGCTTGACACATATTTCACCCAGTTGGAGGAGAGGGCTTGCTTAGAGGAAGGACAGATTCTGGAATTGCACAGACATCCAAGGTGTGTTTGCCAAACCTCACAGCCACCCAAGTGTCTCTGATTTGTCCTGGCTGGGTGCCCAGGAGGGAAAAGGAGTTTGGCAATTCTGCAGCCAACAGTGCAAACACTGAGAGATTTCACGGAAAGGAGAATGGGAAGAGTGTTTTTTAAAAATGGTGTTTTTAAGACTTGGTAAGGTGAGTCTCCTGTTCATCAGCTTTGATAGTGTTCCTTTAAAAATCAGCAACTCACCTCCATTGATTTTCAAGTTCACACTTTCTTAAAAGCTGCAAATCTATTTTTAGCCTGATGGATAGAGACAATTAAACGAGAAGAACATCCAGAGAGATGAAGCCTTCAAAATATTGTTAAATTGCTTTAGAAGAAAGTAAAAAGTTTTAAAAGTTATAGGAATGGTGTAATGTGATTTGGCCAAAATTTGGGTAGCTCTGGCTTAAATCTTCCTCAGGGTTCTTTTATCTCACTATTAAATCAACGATTATTCTGTTTGCCTCTGGGAGAGCATTGCTTTAACACTCTGGACAGTCATATATGCCCTACAACGTTCTATAAAAGTATCTGTTCTTCTTGGCTATTTAGGGATAATATGTATAGTGGAACCTTAAAACCTTGGAACCTTAAAACCATGTAATTTTAGCCTTAAAATTTTAGCCTTAAAAGGTCCCATGAAAATTCATTAGTTTGTTCTCAGAGGATCAGAGAGCAACTCTGAGACCATTCTAGAAAACCCTAGAATGATAAAATTATGTGTTTATTCTAGTTAAGAACTAGGTAAAATTTAAATTTGATCTCTCTCTGTCTAGTTTTTCTTCACCATTTCAAATTTTTAAAATAGAGAATTTTAAATAAGATATTTCATTATAAAACCAGACATTGTTTTCAGTTTCCTCAGATAACTAACAATAACACTGTCATTCCATAAAAACCATTGGAATCTGTCTTCTCCAATTTGATCAGATTTCATTGCGGGGGTCATAGCTGAATGCTATATTCAAGGCATGGAAATGGTCATGCAGTGGCTGAGAGGTCTTCAGGGAAAAAGGCATCAACATTACCCGTCCTGGATCAGAGTGTGATTCCAGCCCATTTGGCGATGATCATTTCCTTTCTGCATCCCTGAGTACCATCCTAATAATGGCAGGAACTAAAGAAAAACTGAAGAGATGTGTCCTGTGGAACAGTCTCACTATAGCCCTCAGGAATCTCCACCCATGACTTGGCTCTTACCTCTTTCTAGAAGCTTCTTTTCTGAGTACCCCTCTACTTTCTAGTCAATTTCAAATTTTCCATTTCCTATAAAATCTCCCATAACTATAGAGAACGACTTCAGATAATGTCTTTCTCAATTATATTTATAGTTCATTTCACACTGGTTGGCATACAGTTCTCTAAATGGTAAAACTCTTCTTTGTTGTATGTTTTTGTTGATGATCTTGACAAGACTATGAAATTATAAAATTCAGAATTCATGTTATCTAGTTATTTGTTATTCCTCACCCCTTGTTCTTTGTGCACTTTAGCTTGCCTCTTATCATTCCTCCTCACTGTCAACACTGTTCAACCATGTGAAGATGCTTTTAGAATCATCTTCTTTCTCTTTTTGTTCACACTATATTCCTGCCACAAGATCGGCTCCAGACTTCTGTTTGAAGCTTACCGTGTGTTGACATGCAGTCATCGGTACTTATCACCGATTTGCTCATTGTTTTGCTGCTGACCCCCTGGTAAAATGCACTTCCTCCCCTTTTGAAGTTAGGTGTGCCCATGTGACTTCATTGGCCATAGGATATGAGTGCAAGTAATGCTTGTCACTTCCAGGAAGTAACTTTTAAAAGCTAGCACCCTGTTCACTGTGCTGCCTCTCTTACATTGCTAGTGCTCTTCATGGCAGAGGGTTTCCTGCCAGCATCCTTGAAAGAGGACAATATGCAAGAATATATGACACAGGCATGACATACTGCTTGTTACTGAGGTTGCTAAGTTATCAGGTTGTTTATTACAGCAGCGCCACTTAGCCCATTTAAACAAGTAGTTGACTTGATAGTTGTCCTTGGGCCTCCCTGGTGGCCTAGGAGTGAAGTCTCAGTGTTATCATAGCAACAGCCGGAGTTCAATCCCCAGCCAGGGAGCTACCCCACATAGCACAGCAGACCTCTCCTGTCTCACCTGCTGTTCCCCTCAGCAGTGTGTTTCAGTAAATATGCCTATTCTGCTCCCCTCCTTGTCTCTGGTGAATCCTCTCACCTCCCCCACCTCTGGCTTACACCCCAGTTCTTCTACATGCAAAAATAAATAATTAAAGAAATAGCTGTCCTTTGTGTGCCTACCACATCTTGCCTTGCCATCACCTTGGCACATATCCCATTTCCTGTCTGTCTTCCTGGTAGACCGTAATCTCCATGAGGATGTGGCTTGTGCCCATGTATCCTCCATGCTCACCACAGAGTGTAGCATATAGCATCCTCTCAAGAGACACATGTTGAATGAACGAATGTACTCAGCCTCATGCTGAATACAGCCTGAAGTAAACACTGCTATTCTTGGATTTGTGTCCCATCCCACGGTGGCTAATCACGAATGTACTCACAGTTGTGACAGGTGGCACCAGTGTATCCTGTGTCACTGCAGTTACAGTAGAAGGTAGTCCAGGACTGGGAGCAGCTTCCCCCATGTTCACAGTAGTTTGGCAAACACCTAATGGGACATAAAGTAAAAACAAACATAATAAACCAAATCAGTTGAAATAAAGGACAAAATAATGTTATATTTGACTGTATGGGTTAAAGTGGAATTAGTCTGCTATAGTGCTGTACCTAAGTCAGACTTGAATGATATCAAAATCACACAAAGGCTTCACCCGAAGGGCCAGTTCCTCCCACCACGACTAGACAATGAAAGGCTCGGAGCTGATTTAGGTGTCTGTTAAACATTTGCACATGGAACAACATTTTCATTGGCTAAAATCTAATTTGAGGTAGTCAAAGTATCTAAGGTAGTCAAAATATCTCCTTTACCATAGAACAAAATATACAAAGGTTATGTAGATTTACATTTTGGAAAGGTTTTGTGTTTTTAAAGGAAAGAGGGAAGGAAGAGATAATTGAGGAGACTTCCTCAGACTGCTCTTTCAGGTGACAGCTGGGAATCTATTTTAAGCTACAATGAAATTTGAAAAGATGCTACCTGATCATTTAACATGCCATAACATTATTAAACTGCCAATGCCACCCTTCAAATGAGGCCATTATTTGTATGAAGAAAGCATTAAGACTAGTCTGAATATTTTCACCATACATGTTAAAAACTCTCTGAAGCATTCAAATGATTTGACCCAGAAATCTCACTCAGGTAGCTATATTTAAGGAAGCATTTCAAAATATGAAAACTACTCAGGCTAGTTTTCTTTTACAGTGACATTATCCGCAATGGTGACTTCATGTCAGTGTCCAAAAGAGGAAAATTCCTGAGGAAAGTTGCAGTATATAAAATTAATGGGCTATCAAAAAACTAATACAAAGACCTTTAACAAATAAGATAATAACAGATTGGCACGAGATTAAGTTAAAATTCAGAGCATGGCCATAACGAAATACAACTAATGCTTTAAATTTTAAAAATGATAGGAAGGGCCTCCCTAGTGGCACAGGCAGTTAAGCGCCACACTGTGAAGCTGTCCGCAGCCACTGCAGCGCTGGTTCGATTCCAGGTGGCCTTGGAGATACCCACATGGCATGGCAGACCTCTCCTGTCTCACTCGCTGCTCCCTTCAGCAGTGTACTTTGGTCCTTCTGCCTGCTCTGCTCCCCGTTCTGGCTCTGGTGAATTCTCTCACCCTCTCGCACTTCTGACTGTACCCAGTGCTTGTATGTATAAATAAATCTTAAAAAATAAATAAATCTTTAAAAAATAAATAAATAAAAATGATAGGAAGAAAAAAAAAATATTGTTTAAGCAAACAGGAGTGAAGGGGATATTTGTTCCTTCTGGGCCAGGAAATGGCCTTTAGGGTCACATATATCTGCATCCCATACCCAGATCAGCTATTTACTACCTGGATTCTTGAGCAATGCCTCCTCTTCTCTTAGACAGGACTTAAAATCTCTGCACCACAGGCATTGTTGCTACTCAGAGATAACCTGGCAAGTGCTCGATATTTGTAGTGAATAAAATTAAGAAAAAAAGCAATGATAAATCCTGGGATTCTAGAAAACAATCTTGACAGGGAAAAAGAATTCCATGAATTTAAAAGGGAGGAGGGTGTAAGCAATGAAGTCATAAGTGCTATAATACAATAAAAGGGTTCAATGTGGAGCTGCAGAAAAAGTGAGCAAAAGTAAGATGATTGTCCCTAAATGTCTTATAAAGGTAGAAGCCCCTCCAGCAACGATTATTTCAAAGCCCAGAAACTAATATTCCTGCATATGTTCAGATGTATTATTAGAAATTTTCTGCTCAGCACAGCAAACACACAATTGTGCTGACAGAGCTTACGTTTAAAGAAGCCTTTTTGGTGCTCCGTGGCATCAAACTATGGCTTTAACACAGGAAATTTTAAAAAGGAAGGTGATTTGCTATTTTCAAAAAATGGAACCATTCGATGAAGAAATAAAAAAATGTGGTCCCTTCCCCACTCCAAATTCTACCATTCTCCTGATCCTCCCCTTTCACAGCTCCTAATCTTGGTAGAAAGGAAAAGAAACAGGTTTATCACTCAGATGAACCCTGCCCCCCACTAATCCTGAGCTGTGGGGAAGTTACAGAAGCTTGGGACCTCGGTGTCCTCATCTACAAGATCTAAGCAGGGACCTTTTTCTCTGCTGTGTCTGAGGGAGAGCAGGTGCAGCCGATGCCATGCCCTCCTGCCCACTTCCTTTTTTATTTTGTATCCCAGCCTCTCCCAGCTTCTGAACACCATTTCCCCATCAATTTCTCTTTTTCCAATGTTTTCCCTCTGCAGATGCCAAGTTCTTACATGACCTCTCTATATTCCCATTCCATCCATTCCATCCCATCCTACTTTCCCGCACACTTTACACACTCAGAAACACACACAAACACACATACAAACACACACATTCTATGACTGACAAAAATGGTAGTATCAGTCCTTTCCCTCCTCCAACAAAATGTTTGTGGCTTCAAGGATGGAAAGCTGAACAAAGTCAGGTGACTCATCTTGTAGCTATTTTTGGTTTGGGCACCAAGAAAGGTCAGATTTTTGATGGCTGAAGACAGAAAACAGAAAACTCAGAAAATCTCTGTGGCCAGGTTTTCAGCCATGAGAAAAAAGTTCATCTACATTGCAAAAGAGAGGCCAAAAAGAATAAATAAAATGCTGAGCTATGACATGTGATGGAAAAAATGATTTGGAGTGAGTCTTGACATTTTTGTGTGGCTGGTTCCTCTTGTTCTCAAATTTGGCTACAATTCTGAACTTCCTAAGGGCTGTTATTTTATTAAGTTCTGTAAGATCATCCAAAATCTCTCCAGGAAGCCTTTTATTTCACTCACTTGAGTTGGGATTTTACTGTCAACTAGCAGAATCCCAACCTTTTGCAAAATCGCATTATAAAATATAGAACAAAATAAAAACATATTTTCCCTTATAATCTACACTTTAAAATATTTTAGAACTCAATCTGGCGAAGTCAGGCATGTAGGAGGATCTTGGAAAAAGTTATAACAAATATCTGGGCACTTTGAAAATATTTTTAGTAAGTCTTACACAGTCCTTATATGCAGTATTTAATAGACTCAATTTACCAAGAAGACATAAGCTAAAAATTCATGTGTTTATGGTCACTCAAAAAACACAAGGATGCAGGGCCTCCCCTGGTGGTGCAGGTGGTTGAGCACAGCGCTGTGAAGCTTCCCGCAGCCTTTGCAGGGCCGGTTCAATCCCCGGCCACCGGCGAGGGTCCCAGATGACGCACAGACCTCTCCTGCCACCCGCTGCTCCCCTCAGCAGTGTATTTTGTCAGCCTGCCTGTTCTGTTTCCTGCTCTGTCTCTGGTGGATCCTCTCACCCGCCTGAACATCTGGCCTGTACCCCGATTCTTGTATAAATAAATAAATCTTAAAAAAAAAACAAAAACAAAAAAACACAAGGATGCAGTTCTGGGTAAGTAAAAATCAAATATTCCTACAAGAAGAAAAAAATGAATGAATGCTCATAGGGTTACCGCGGAGCTTAGTTTATTTGTTCAACATACCTGTAATTAGAAAAACTCATCTATAAATTAGACACTCAATACAAAAGAGGAGCCGTCCCAACGTGCTTACTTAAGGAGGATGCTTGTATGAGCACGATTTACGTATTCTTTAATCAGTTCACTTTAACTGGTGTTTTATTTCTTTTTTTTCTCTACTTGGCATAAACTGAACAATGAAGACAGGAACCAAGAAAGAGAATAATAGAAAAGTGCACAAGTAAAAGAATCCATTAAATAGGAAGGTAGATGTGATCATAGGTGTGAGGTCATTATTTCAAATTGTTAGGAGATAATCACTCTGAAACCCTATTTTCTAAGATCCTAACTCTGTTGCACAGATAGCTGGATTTGGTTGGATGATGAATTTTGGCACATAAAGATTAACACAGAAAGCTTTCAGCAGGAACACATCAGTGTTCTTCAAAATCTCAAGAACTCAAATGAGTTAGCACAGTGATGTTTGCCAGCCAAGACGCAGAAGGTGGTGTAGAATCGTTGGCAGGTGTTTGCCTCTGTAATAAGCAGTGTGCGTGGTCTGAATTCAGAGATGAAACAAAGGGCTGGAGGAAAGGCATTGAAGAGTTAGGAACGGAAGGAGAAAAGCAAACTAAGTAATGGCGACATAGCCATATAGCAGCCTTGTCAGAGAATTTACATTTTTGCCCCCAAATCTGAACTTACTACAAAAGAGAAGGATCATTGCTAGTTAAGGCTGTGGGCAACCCTGGTCAGAGTGAAGTGAGAGGAGTCATCCAGAGTCACATCCAATCTGTAAAGGTGTTTGGTTTTAGCTTGTTGTTTGGTGATGTGTTGGGTTGTTCACAAACTAAGTTGAAATGTCTCTCTTTAAAGGCTGAGGCATAGCTAGGGAGACAGGCCAAGAAGGGGCTTTTAAAGGAAAGGATTTTACAGGATGTTGCGGGATTGAGTCACTAGAGGCAGAAATGTCTGGGAATTTAAGTTAAGTCCAGTGTCAAGCATCCCAGGAAGCCTTTTTTCTACAAAACCCACTTTCTCCAGTGACATACGGAAGAAGTAAAACACCCCTGTAGTTTTGCTTCAGACAAGATCAGAAAGTTATTTCCCCAACTCAACTTCTAACTGGGGCCAGGACTTTCCAACTGGCTGAGACGTGGGAAAAGTGTTAGGGAAACAGTGAGATACAAGATAGTTCTGGAAAATGCAGTCCATCGGTTTGTACTTCAGAAGATTTCACAGAGGAAATATCAATCTCTGGCTTCTCAAACAAAAAGGAGATTAGTGAGCGGTATTTCATAGCAAGTCTCATGACTTCACATGCCTGCAACATCCAAGTTTATACTTTGAGTTTCCTCTCTCCTGATTCAAGAATCCTAAGTTTGCCTGCTTGACAATTCACTAGAATATCAGTTACTTCAAACCTTGTATATCCACACCTAAATTCTGATCTCCTACCTCACCCCCTCCCTCCATCTGCTCCACCCACATCCTTTACTCTCAGAA